GGATTTGAACTGCAGACAACTACGTGGGAGTCCAGTGACATAACCATTACATCATCTGCTGTTCCTGTTATTGCTCTTTTTTAAAGAGTTGGGGTGTTTCCTTCAGAGCTTTGTGTAAGTGGTGAATGTGTGAGACCAAAGGGCTGGCTCTGCTCTGGGAATAGGGTCGGGGAGAGCTTTGCTGGTTTCATCCTGGTTATGCTACTTCTCTAAGACTTGACCCTGTTTCTGATCAAACTTCTACCTTCCTCTAGAGCCACACTCAGGCTCAGAATGCTCCTGGCATCCTGTGCTATCGTGTTATGTACTGTAGTATTTTAAGTACTTTCTGTAGTATTACATACCAAAAGGATTGTCCAAAGATAATCATGACCATCTTATTGCTTAAAAGATTGGACCAAAACCATCCCAGAGACATTAACAGCTTTCATATCCTCTAAAAACTTCCAGACTAGAAGATTCCATAATTTGCTTATTGGCATCTGTGCTTGGCAGTACTGCTGAAGAAACATTCTTTATTACACTCTGTGGTAAAGACTTACAAGTGCCTTTTCTTCAAAATCCTTCTGGGTCAGCTTTCTTTTTGTTTAGCACTAAAAAAATGAGATTTGTCCCCAAATGTTGGGGGGCGGGGGTAGTGGTGGTGAAAGACACAGAGAGAAAGCAAAAGATAGAAAACATGAGCCAGAAGTCTGAAATGTATTTATGCCTAAGAAAATATTGGGTCATCAGGGAAGTCGTAATGTATTCTATGCAGAAATGCATCATGGCTTTTCAGATGACCCAGTATAATGTCTCCTGGAGGGGCTATGATCACCTCCACCCTATAGCCATTCCTTGCACAAACACTTCCTCTTTAAAGGGTAAAAGGACTGGAAAACAAGCCATAGGAGGAGGTTTGGCAATAATCTTGTGACAACCACTCTCCACCCTAGCACTCTGTGAGAGAGCTGAGCAGTCTCATCCACTAGGTGTCCAAATCCACTGTGGGCTGCTCATCTTTTAAGGAAGCAGAGGCCATTCCTGCCCTCTGGACTTGACACATCATAGTACTGAACTTCACGAGTGTGATGACACTTGTGCCGGAGTCAAGATTGAAATGAACTATAGTTACGGAGGTGTCTGGTGAGCCATCTTTAATTCTATTAAGTGGGGGAAAGTGGCTTTGCAATGCTCGGCATGTCAACCACTTTCTCTTCAACTTAGCACAAACACACTAATTACAACCAAATGATCTGTTTCATTATATAGTGAACATACTACATATAATGTTGGCTTTCTACTATTTGGTGATACACATTCCTGGGTAACTTTTTCAATGGCAAGCTAACACTCAAGTCCCGTAAATCCTATCTGTCATTTCATTTTAGAATGGAAAAGCGAGACAATTAGATTATTCCTTAGTTTCTAGGAAGCCTCTATTTTTGTCCCTCCCCCTTTGGGTTTGGAGGCTATGCTGGGCATGGCAAGAGGCTCTCATTTGCTGGTAATGGCATTGTCCATCAGTGTCGCATTTGGGGGAGTGCTGCATAACTGGATGGGAATTAGGGGCAAGAGTTGGATTTGACCGAAACTGATCAGGGAAGGAAGTGGGAGGCTTTCAGCAGTTTGCATTTGAAAGCATCATGGTCCAAGAAGGAGCTATCCAAATCAGTCATTCTGGTCCCCAAGAAGCACAGCAGCTGGCTGAGAAATAGAGTGGAGGTGGGTGAACATGGGCAGGGTCCAGTAGGCCCAGAAATGGATTTGAACTGATAGGATTATTATGAGATGTAAAGATTTACAAGGAGACCATCTAATGCTTTTTCTTATAGCATAGGAGTCTAGCCAGCTAATTTGACAATTACCATAAAGCCGGCAAGGATATTTCAGTATGCACATGGCAAGCAAAGGGAAACAATGTCCAGTGCAAAGGCCATGGGCAGGGGCTCTGTGCAGAGGGGGAGGCCCTTCAAAGGATACTCTGAAATATTCACCAATTCACAAATGAAAATGCCATTGGGGCTGCTGCGCGTCCCATCAGCAAGACACTTAGAGCTGGATTACTGACAAGACGAATTCATGTATTACAGAGGGGAAGCAAACCCTGTATCTGGTTATAGCTAAAGATGTCAGGTGCATGAGCAACCAGAATATTTGAATGGTTTGGAGGATGTAGATAAGTAGAAACAACAATTGTTTTATAGGGTTAGAAAGAAAGAAAATCAACACACTGCAAATTCTCACTTATCTGGAATACAACTGAAAAGGTCAGGGACCAGCAGTTGGCATAATGGCTATGTTGCTGAACTCCCATGTAGTCGACCGTGGTTCGCGTCCCAGACCCGGTGGCTTAAATTCATGCCGGGCGCGTGTGCGTGCGTGCCCAAGATCCTGAGAAGAGAATGGAGGAGAAGGGATTGCGGCGTAGCCATCCCCCCTGGGGGATGATTTCTCGCATTCTGTCTCTCTGTCTCTCTCTGTCTGTATGGAGAGCGCGTGCGCCCTATAGCAAAAACCTCTCAAAAAAAAAAAAAAAAAAAAGGTCAAACAGTGTATTTGTGTGCAATGTCTGAATAGTGTCCTTCTTATTTTAAAGAGCACCCACATGGAAATAAGTAATTATCAGGAATTTGTTCTAAAAAGAAACTTTGAAGTTATGTCGAGCACACTTATTTCCCAGCTTCCTGTGTATTTTACTGCTTAGTATTGTATTCTGATACATGAATCAAGAACATCAGAATTGTAGGTGCTTTAAACTGAGGTCAGAGGGATTAAGTAACTAGACCAGGACCCCAGAGCTAACTGGGGGCAGGCCTGAACTTACAGTGTATGGTTCAGGGACTCTCAAGATAGGGCCAACAGAGTTACTGAAGGGAAACAAAATTACATGAAATATGACTTTCATTTGTAAATGCATTTTATATTAATCTTCTTTATTTTTTCTGAAGTCAGTAAAACACATACAAGTGTAATAGTTTGTAAACAGATAAGAGACAGTAAATTAACTGTAAGCCCTCCCTTCCCCAAGATTTTGTTTTTTTAAGAGAGAGGATATGTGCACTCGCCAGAAAGACAGAGAGAGACTGAGAGACAGAAAACAAGAAATCACCTCCCAGGGGGATGGCCACGCCACAATCCCTTCTCCTCCAGTCTCTTCTTGGGATTTTGGGCATGCATGCACATGTACCAACATGAGTTTCAAGCCTCTGGGTCTGGGACTCAAGCTACGGTGGGCCATGTGGGAGTCCGGAAATGTAACCATTATGCCATCTGCTGGTTCAGATCCCAAGATCATGCTGGATAACTAGAAGTTTTCCAATTCTCTATTTCTAGAGAATTCTAGAGTTCGAATAAGTAAGAAAGACATTCTTTCTGGTCACCAGAGAAAAAAGGGCCTTATGGTTGACAAACACCTACTGTGGGACAGGCACTGTGCTGGGAACTTTAATGTTTATCGTTTCACCCAATCCTCAAGCCAGCCTGACTGGCTACGCATGCTCCGGTTACTGCAGATGAGGAAGACTTGGCTCTGGTCTCCACCAGCACCCTGCCCATGCCCTGCAGAGCTGCCATTCTTTGGCCTTCCCACATTACTTGGTACATAACGTTCTGCTCCCTGTCCCAGTCCCAGTTGTACATCTTCAACCAATTTGTCCTTTTGCTTCTACTATTGGGATTTCTCTGGCTGTCTCCTTACCCAGTAATGAGGAACGGAGTATTTCATGGTGAGTACATACAAGGGATATTAATAGGAAAATGTGGAGTGATTTACGCAGGGCTCGCTTTTGTCAGTCACCGCGCTCCTGCTTTGCAGGGAGTAAACAGTAGATGTTGCCTCAGAAGGGCCTGGAATCTAGTGAGTTTTCCCTCCCCCCCATATCCTGTTTGTCTATTTATTTTTTATGCTGAATTTGGATGCCTTTTGGTAGAGCAGGTGTTCACCCTATCATTTCCTATTGTCTTATACACAATCTGCTTGACTCATTTATATTATTACCAGGCCTCTGACCCCAGCGATTTAATGCTAGTTGGCATCATTAACACCCCACAACCAGCCATGGGGTCTTTGGTTTCTCCTATGATCGTCATGAAAAGCCGCTCAGTGGAACACAGCACAACACTGGGGCTCCATTGGCTGAAGACTATGGATGTGAGCTGTACCCCTGGGGGCTGAGCACTACAAGCACAGCTGTCACCAGAGGCCTCTCGAGTAGCACACAGTCCTTGAGGTACAGAGAGAATGTTTCTGCCCTGAACTCAAGCCTAAGGCTGCTCAGTAGGACCCTTAATCCTATGAAAAGAGAGGAAGTCAGGATGATGCGAGAATGATGAACTAAATAAGTGGTTCAAAAGGTGACCTTCTAGTGGTCTGCCATTTTGAGGCCCATCCTTTGAGTTCTTGTAGCTCAAACCCTCCAGTGAATGTCATCTCTGGACAGAGTAGGTCCATCTCCTGATGTCCCCAAAGAACCAAAATGACTAGATTCACTGAAGCAATGAAGAACCCAAACAGGGTATTTTTAACAATGGTGAGAAAAGCAAGTTTACACTTCTTAGAATCTTACTGGAGGAATAGTGAAAACTGGTTGCTTTTATTTTTCCCCCAAGCAAGGAAGGCTCTGTGAATGCTTTCATTCTTTTACTCTCAAGGGAAATCTAGCGATCCTTAAACCATCTGAAAGACAGAAATCATAGCAGTGATTCAGATCCCACCTCTAGGACTGCACCAAACTTAGCTGGAACCACTCAAAACCCGAAGTGTAAGTGAACTAGAAACTACGAGTGAGTGAGCCACAGGTGAGGTTCAGTTCCCTTAAAGAAAGATGCTTTGTTCACTTTCATGCCTCTGAGACTTGAGTGTATCAAACAGAAACCGGCTATGTCACAGACCTACTGTGTAGATGACATGGACATCAGGCCCTTGGTGCACATGAGGCACGGGCTACCACTGCTAGCACCTACTCAGCCAGTTTTCTGTCAGTCATTAACCACCACACAAACAAACCGAATTTCTGTACCTCCTCAGGCAGGCTGACCACCAGGTCATTTTTGGTCTGTCCGACCAGTGCCTGCCAGAAGTATTCACTGCATGCGGCCAGCACAGCCCGGTGGGCCCGGAACTCCTTCCTCTCCACGATCAAAGTCACGTCACAGAGAATATCCTTTTTTCGCTGGTCATTGAGGCCCAGGAGGATGTTGGTGCAGTGGACTGTGGACTCATACACATACATGGGGGAGTCAGGCTTCTCATCCACAGACATGCCGTTCACACCCTGAAAGAAAGAAAGGTCGGGTCACCATGGCTCTCAGAATCAGAGGGAGCAGGCCGAAGACATCACAGTTCCTGTGTCCCACTGCCAGGAGCCCGGCAGGAAGGAGCAGAACTGACGTTCAGCACAGTCATGCTCAGTTAACACCACAGCTCAAACACATTTCTGGGAAGTCCAGGACTATGGCAGACTTTTATACCTTCCATTTAACCACATTCATTTACCTCGTGGTAACAAAACCAGGTCTTACAAAGGAACACTTGAAACATTTAAGACACATAGACACTTTAAAACTTGGTAGTTTTGATTTTGTTAGAAGGCTGAAAAGGAGCTTTCACACAGAAATAGTCCTAATTCAAGTACTGATTGAGATGTGTATTTGAAAGAGGAAACGAGTAATTTTGAAGTATTTGGAATGCTATCTTGATTGAAGTCCATTTTAGTTCCTAAGTTGAAATCTGGCTAAACTGCCAAGTAAATATCTAATCGCAATACGTAATTTAACCAGGGAACTGAGCTGTGCACACATGAAAGAGTCAAGAGAGCCAGTTACTGTTACTGTGCCTGTCCCCTGCACTTTGAGACAAAGCACAACCAACATGCTGTTGCTGCTCAGCTCTAAGAAAGATGTGGACTTGTGCTGTCATTTTTCTAACAGACCTGATGTACAGTCTCTTCAAGGAAAAAATACACCAAACAGGAGTCACAAAAAAAGATGTATTCGACAGTGGGGAATACTTTTACAGAAGGATTCTTTCCTTTAAAAAGTATCCATTTAAAACAGAGTATCTGTAATTAATTTACATAATATAATTTTTTCTTTCTTTAAGAGGTTTTTTTGCTATAGCGCGCATGCGCTCGCCAGACAGACAGAGAGAGACAGTGAGACAGAAAGTGAGAAATCACCCCCCCGGGGGGGGGGGGGCCATGCTGCAATCCCTTCTCCTCCATTCTCCTCCCAGGATCTTGGGCACACACACACACGCGCCTGGCATGAGTTTAAGCCACCGGGTCCGGGACTCGAACCGCGGTCGACTACATGGGAGTCCAGCAACATAGCCATTATGCTAACTGCTGGTCCCAATATAATTTTTCATGATATTTACTAATATTATAAATTCAAATAGTGAATTCTACTTTCTTTTTGACTTTATTCTTATTTTTAAAAGCAGCTTTATTTCACATACAATAATGTGCACATATGTATAGTGAGTAGTTTGATGTTTTGACATGTATGTAACTGGAAGCCATAATCACAATCAGGAGAGTGGACATCTATTACCCCCAAACCTTAAGCCTCTTAATAGTTTTCCCTTGTATCTCTGTGTGCAACTGTTGAACAGCTTTCTGACACTAAATATTAGTTTGCATTTTCTAGAGTCTTTTTTTTTTTTTTGAGAAGTTTTGCTATAGGGCACATGCACTCACCAGAAAGATAGAGACAGACAGAGAGACAGAAAGCAAAAAATCACCCTCCATAGGGGATTTCCACACCACAATCCCTTCTCCTCCGTTCTCCTCTCGGGATCATGGGCACGCACGCACACGCGCCCGGCGTAGGTTTAAGCCACCAGGTCTGAGACTTGAGCTGCGGTCGACTACATGGGAGTCCAGCAATATAGCCATTACGCCAACTGCTGGTCCCTAGAGTCTTATATAAATAAAATCATACAATATGCATTCTTTTATGCATGGCTTCTTGTTACTTGGCATAATTACTTTATCTTTCAATCATGCTCTGTGTATCAAGTTTGTTCCTTCATTGCTAAGTGTTCCGTGATATGGTTAAAGCACAATTTTTTTCTATTTAAGAGAGACTTTTGCTATGGGGCATGTGCACTCGCTGGAGAGACAGAGAGAAACAGAGAGACAGAAAGTGAGAAATCACTCCCCAGGTGAGAGGGCCACACAGCAATCCTTTCTCTTCCATTCTCTTCTTTGGATCTTGGGCATGCATGCACACGTGCCTACTGTGAGTTTTAGGCCCCCGGGTCCAGGACTCCAACTGTGGTTGACTACATGGGAGTCCAGTGATGAAACCATTACACCACCTGCAATTTTTTAAATCCATTCAATTAATGATGTATATTTGGGTTGTTTTCAGTTTTTTACTATTACAGAGCCAAAGTGTATAAGACTTTGTATGGACATATGCTTTCACTTTGGGGTAAATACTTAGGAGTAGAATGTTTAGATTGAGTTAAACTTTTTAAGAAACTGCCATTGTTTTCTAAAGTGATCATTTCATTTTTACATTTCTACCAGCAGTGTATGAAAATTGCAATTTTTTTTCATATCCTTGTCAACATTGTATGGTCAGTCTTTCTAATTTTGGCCATTCTGATAAGCATACTGTGATTTTTTTGTGTGTGGTTTTAATTTGCTTTTTCCAAAGACTGAGATGTTGAGCATCTTTCATGTGCTTATGTGCCATCTGCACATTTTTGGGAATAATGTCTATTCAGAATCTTTGCCTATTTTTTAGTTGGGATGTTCCCCTATTTTTTGAGTTTTGAGAGTTCTTTATATATTACGAATGAAAGTCCTTTATCAGATAAGAGATTTGTAAATATTTTCTCCTCATCTGTAGTTTGTCTTTTTGGTCCCTTAATGGTGTCTTTCAAAGAGCAAAAAGTCTTCATTTGATGAGGTCTAACTTATCAATTAAAAAATTAATTTTTCATTGCTAGTATATAAATATAAATAATTTTTGTTTATTGATCTTGTTTCCTGAAACCTTACTTGACGTACTTATTAGTTTTCATAGCTTGTTTTTGATAGATTCTATAGAATTTTCTATGTAGAAGAGTATATTGACTGTAAATCAAGACATTTTGCTTCCTTTCTGGTCTGAATGATTTTCATGTCTTTTTTCTGCCTTACCACAATGTTGAACAGAGGTGGTGAGAGTGAACGCCCTTGCCTTCCTGATATTCCATCAGGGGAACATTCCATCTTTTACCATTGTGTATATTGGTTATAGGTACTTCATGGATGTGCCTAATGGGTAGAAGAAGTTTCTGTTCTATTAGGTCAGCATGAAAGTCATGAGGTATTTTTCTATGTTTTTCTATGCAAGAGTGTGTCATAACTTTCCTGATGACCCAACAGCTTGCTAGGCATTTTTTTTAAAAAAGCAGTTGTGGATGTTTAATTTTGTCAAATGCTTTTTCTTCATCTACTGAGATAAGCACATAGTTTTTCATTTTAGTTAATATATGATGAATAATATAGATTTTGGAATGTTCAACTAACATTATTTCTAGGATAAACTTTATTTGGTCATGATGTAAGAGGAGACTTCAAAAAGTTTCTGGAAAAATGGAATTATAGTTTATTTGGTGCAATTTTTTAGAAACCCATGCAGTTTTTCATAATATATATATTTTTCAAGAACTTTCTGAACCTCGCATAGCTATCTTGTTATATGCTGTTAGATTCAATTTGCTAACATTTTAATTTGTATCTCTGTTCATAAGGTACATATATCTAAAGTTTTCATATATGTATGTATATGTAAATACATGTATGTGTATTTTTTTCACGTGTGTTATACACACACACACACACACACACACACACACACATATATATGGTTTGGTTTTAGAAAGAGGGTAATAGGGACCAGCAGGTGGCATGGTGATTACAAGGTGCTGGACACTCCCACATAGCCAATCATGGTTCGAGTCCCGGACCTGATGGCTTGCTTTCTCACTTTCCCTCTCTCTCAATCTCTGTCTCTCTCTCTGGTTAAATTAACATAAAATGAATGAGTAAATAAAATAATTTTAAAAAAGAAATAGGGTAATGATAGTCTCACAAGATGATCCAGAAAGCATTTTTTTATCCAGTTTTCAAGAATTAAAAAAAAAATGTGACTGATATTATTTTTTCCGTAAATGTTCGTTAGAATATACCTGAGAAAACTTCTGAGCATGGGGTTTGCTTCAGTGATAAATTCAATTAAAAAAAATTGAGTTTATTAGTTTATTGGCATAAAATTGTACCTAATACTTGCCTATTTTCCTTTTAATATTAGTAGAATCTTCACTCACATCACTTCTCACATTCCTGATTAGGGATTTGTGTCTTCTCTCTTTTTTCTTTCTCTTATCAGTCTGGCTAGAGACTTAATTTTATTGATGTTCTCAAAGAACTAGTTCTTTTGCCAAATTGATTTTCTTTATGCTGCTTTCTAATTCACTGATTCTTCTGTTCCCATTGTTAAGTCCTTTACTCTATTTACTTTAGGTTTAATGTGTTCTCACCTCCCAGCCACTGTCCCCCTCCCAGTTTCCTAAGGTAGAAATTGAGCTCACTGATCTGAGATCCTTTGTCTTACAGGCATTAATGCTATTAATATAATTCCACTCTATTGCTTTAGCAGTACTTTACACATTTTGAAAGGTTGAGTTTTTATTTTACTTCAGTTAAAAATACTTTTAAATTTCCCTTTTGATTTCTTTTTTGATGTATTGATTATTTGTAAATGTTATTTAGTTTCCAAATATTTGCGGGGAATTTCCAGATATCATTTTGTTATTATTCTCAGAATTAATTCCACTAGTAGAGAATTCCACTTATTCCACTTTTATGACCTTAATCCTTTTAAATTTATGGAGACTTTTTATGTTCCAGAATATGATTTATCTTGGTAAAGATTATACATGCATTTGAAAAGAAAGTGTATTCTTTTGATGGCTGGAGTGTTCTCTAAGTCAATTAGTTTGAATTATATGATAAGTTCAAGTGTTCCATATTTTGTTTTTTAAAAAAATATTTGGAGGGTGTGTGCACTTGCTGGAAAGAAAGAGAGGAAGAGATGGAGAGAGAAAGAAAGAAAACAACTCCATGGAGAATGGTAAGACACCCTCCATGGGGAATGGTCACACCACAATCTCTTCTCCATTTCTCTCTCCTTTTGAGGGAGACACTTGCACGCACACCTGGTATGTTTTTCAAGCTGTTGGGCCTAGAATTTGAACTGTGCCATTGGCTTTGTG